GTAATTCAATTGATTACAGAGGTAAGTCTGAGTAATCAATAGTAATCAATTACAATAAAATCAGAAAGTAATTGTAATTAAATCAATTACTGATCAATGTAATCATCCCCAGGTCTGAATAAGAGGTCATTTGATCTAACATGAGAGGTCATTTGATCTAACATGAGAGGTCATTTGATCTAACATGAGAGGTCATTTGATCTAACATGAGAGGTCATTTGATCTAACATGAGAGGTCATTGATAAACTATTTGCAGAGTTGCATCAGATATATATTTCACAAAACTTCATAATACATTCCCACTACTAAGTCATTGTAAAGTTTGTTTATAAATGGGTAAACCCTGTATTTAGTTAACATCAGGGCCAAATATTGCACATTTTCTGAACTGTATGCTCCCCCATATACCTTCCTGTCAGAGAAAGGTGAAAAGGGGAGGGGAAAAGGGGATAAAGGCCTGTCTAAATATGAATTATGACATGATGACTGGTGTTCACTAAATATATGGTTTACTATAATGTGGTATAGTCTGATTTTATTGACCTGTCAATAATGAATACATTATAGCACTCATTTAAATATTCGATCCCACTTCGGTTTTGTCCGTTTATTTTACGAGAATTAATATCGAGTATATCACTAACGTTTGGAAAACTCCCACTAACTAAATGAAGGTTCTTGTAGCATCCGCAATAGCACAGTCGGTTAAGTGATTACCTAATGTATGAGAGGTCCGAGGTTCGATCCCTTCTTTTGACATTCTTTTTAGACTTATTCTCTCTTTATTTTAGGTATATTTTAAAGAAAATTGTCAAGCGCTTGCAAAATTGTCTACATGAAATGAAACAACTAAGAAACACTGAATTGTCACATTTTGTATTGTATTTTACGGCACTGAAATTACATTTATTGATTATAATCCGAATGAATTTTCAGTATCAATTATATAAAAAAATATAGTATTTACAAAAGAGTACAAAGCATATTAAAAACAGAACAACCATAAATTCAAAAATTTTGAAAACATTTATGAATAAGAAAAAAAAACCTGGACATACACTGCCTCGATCTTACAACATGTAGCACATTTGATATTATATATCCGTGGTTTACCCTATTGCGCTATAACGGTCAGTGTAACTAATCTACAGAAACTAGATGAATTTAATTACATCTTACTGCGTACCTCTCACGGAATTTACCGAACATTTATCGAATATTAATATATTCTGTGCATTGACCGTGTAATGAGTATGGAATTGACAGGTTAATAAAATCAAACAATATTACAGATTTATATGATTTAATCATAAAAATATTATACTGATTATTATGTATTTAATTTTATGTTTAATTCACCAATCTCTGTATTCAACTACTTTTGTTATTATTATATATGTATATATAAGGTTAATGTTGTGATATAAATGTATCTAAAATAAAGGTCTAACTTGTTTTTATTATATAAAGAATTTCAACATACAAGTATTTTATGTCATAGTTTTAAGACCATAACATGTATGGGTTTACCCCTTCTTTTGTGAGTATCCAATCAAATATTTGAGACACATGCCTAGTCTAAAAGTCCAGATGTATTTTTTCAGGTTACAATGCTAAAATATAAAGATTTTATACCTTTTTATAAAAAAATTAATTTCTTGTTAATTAAGATTTATTTAATAGGGAAAATGAGGTAATTGATTTTTCTAAGAGCTTTTTTACACCTTTGTTTTTCCTGGCTACGTTACAGATGTGGTTTGATGCCAGCGGACGTGCATATGTGAGCCTTGCAACGCGGTATGATCCTGTTAGGAAATACTGAAACAATAAATTTGTTTTACCGAAGGTACATGATCGTGGAATGCGGGATAGTGGTCTTTAACCGTCAAATCTAGTACTAATCCTATAATCCCAGGCATATAATCTCATTTAGTATATTAGTACTTACTAACACTAGCTCTTGTGTTATTTTCACAAACTTTAATCTTACTTAATCTGCATGAATAATGACTTTTGAATACCAGATAATATGCAGCAATTCTGTGTTAACACTTTATGTATCTTACTCTTACTGTGTAGTTTTCTTGTCTTCAAATATGCATGTGTATTGTTTTTTTAACACTATGCATGTGTATTGATTTAACACTATATGTGTGTGTGAAATGCAATATTATATATTTAGACTGTCTACTAGATTTTCTTGTAACACACTTGTGGTTTTAAGGTAATAAAACTCTATTTGTAACCAGTCTGTCAAAATATATTTTAAGCTATTCAATTGGTCAGTATATAATACTTAAATCTTTTCCTATTGGTCAGTTAAAATATTTTGATTTGAATTACATCGAATAAGAATTGAGATTCTTAGACTCGGGTTACAATTATTGTAAAGTTTTGTTTGCCTTTTAACCATGTGTTTTCTTTACAGCTTTTGTATAATAGTAAACTTGGTAGGATGCCATTGAAATTTCAGTGTAAGTTTTCATGCCATGAGTTTTCTTTCAGCATTATAGATTTCCATATTTGCAAGTCATATTATCTTAATGTTTAGAGTATGAAAAATAATGTGTAAGTTTTTAAAATGTATTCTTAAATAGAGACTGTGTCAAAAAATCAATTTGACTTTTGGGTCTTTAATGAGTCAAGGTCAACTTCACTGAGGCCAAATAATATAGATTTGAGGTTAGCTGAGTGGTTAAGGTTGCTTACTATGAACCACTTAGGGTTAAAATTCCACCAGAAACTTCTTGATTCTTTTATCAAAGGAATCTATCCAGCTTTGATAAGTTTTCGGAAGTTTGGTTATTCTACTCAGTTGCCTAAAATGATGTACAGATGGGCCACCCAAATCTTTCTCCAACCAGAAAAGCTTGAAGTTCTTTATATTATACCTTAATGACTTATAATATTCCCCTTCTCCCAGCCCTCCAGGTTAAGAAACAAATATCTATAAGTTTATGGAGTTCAATATTGATATAAAAATATCATCTAGTTTTTTATAACAGAGTTACAATATCATTTATTACTGTAGTTTAATAGGATTAAAGCATGGGTATGAAATTCCCACGTCATCAAGGTCAATAATTATATATATTTTAGTTAAACCCCTAGACAGATCTAAACACAATGAACAAATACTTATTTGTCTTTTGTCCATAAAACTTTTTTTCCTTGTTGAGGGGTGGGTACCTGGAGGCAAGGGGACAAATTTAAAGTTTTTTTTAACATTAAATGTAAAATTACCAGTCTAAAGGACCTGTTTTGTTTTACTTTGAAAACGTTAGCTTTTAAAATACATGTAAAGAAAAAAAAATAGATTTTTTATGGTTTTTGTAAGTAACAATTAAAAGACTGCAATTTTTCTCCCATTCTCTTCTATAGCCTTAGAATTAGTTCTTAACTTTCTTACCAGTATATAAAGTCTGTATTATTAGTGAAGAATGTATTTTACTGTATGACTTTCAAATAAATCTGTGCTTCAAGAAAAAGTGATTTCTTAAAGATCATATATGCTGTGATTGTATACCACACTTAAGTAAAATAATATATATGAATATAACTATGCTAATAAAACAATTTTCAGACAACAAAGAATATGTTAAATATGTACTGCAAATATTTGTGCACATTATAATTATGTAATCATTAAAATATATGCATTCTTTTATTCTTAGATTTTATAGAAAATAAATTTCTAATTACCTCCCTTAAATTATTTACATGAAATGTTAAATTCGGTAATATCTTTATAAATAATGCTTTTTGGAACACACAATATTGATAAATCTTAATTTGAGCATCATATTTATGATATAAAACCATAAAAAATATTGTGTTACAGGATCTTTAATTTAAAATTCAATATAGAATAAATTATATTGATAATTTGATATACTTTATCTGTTTTATTTTTTGTAAGCATGTCATGTTTATATCATATATTAGAAAAAGACGTTTTGGGGTATTTCATATAGATAAATTTTGAAGGCAGAATTAAAACAGTTCAATAGAATTTCTTTAAACCAATGACATGTTGTTAGAATATGATAATTGAAATATTTATAGGGGAAAAAAAGTTGGGTGTTGCCAATCTTAGTTTTGAGTTAGTTTTGAGTTATCTGCCCATGAATCAGAATAATTTACTTAGTTGAGGTCTTTTCAAGGGCAGATAACTTTTACATACCTCTAAAACATCTTGTTTTTACTTCTGGATCATGATTTTCTTTTAATTGTTGATCACAATGTATAATAACATGCAATTCCATAAATGTTTTCTGTTACAATATTTTCAGTTTGAATAAAGGGACATAAAATTCTTTAAAAATATTCTATTTTGAAAGAAAAAATGGCACAGGTTTAGAGAAGAAGGGATAAAAAAGTCCTCTCTTTCTTCATCCTTGAAATTTTGCACAATGACTCAAAGATTGTTAAGTAAGTAACATGAAAATTAGAAAAAAGTAAGGTATTGTTTACCTTTATTGTGAATTATCTGCCCTTGGATGAAGTAAAATAGTCCAATTCAGGGAAGATAACTCAAAAACAAGAATGGTGGCCCCCAATTTTTTTTTCCGTGAAATATTTCTGTTATCACATTTTAACAACATGCCAAGTTTTAAGAAACTCTATTGAAAGGTTTTAAATTTACATTTATGAATGTCTTTCTTTTGAAAACACAAAAAAATGCTGGAAGTAAAGATTTTTTCTACATGTGATTGAGGAAGCTTAATTCTGCCAGTTTGACAGTACATGTATATATGTTAAAAAGAGCCTTTAGTTTTGTTTAAGATGTCTTAAAACATTTTATAAAAATTCTCATGAAAATCAGCTATAAAGTATTGGTTTATGCCCACTTACTTGTTAAGTTTAAACTTTTTTTATTCGATATTGTAAAAGAATGATATTTTTTTTGAAAGAGTTTTCATTGAAACTATTTTTTTTTCTGCTATGTTGTGTAATCTTTATAATTCTGCTTTTACAATGCATATTTTTTATTTTACAGAAAAGTTTAAAAAGCCATCCAGAATTGGACGGGTTAACATGGGCAGAAAAATTAGAAGTTTTACGATCGGTGAACAAAAAGCGCGATAAGCCGAAGACTAAACAACGCAAATTGAAATACGTTAAAGCCGACCCTAACGACCCTCTCTACATGTGGGCTTTTGAACAGGATCAATTGTATGAACAGCGTAGAATAAAGCACCTCGTTGAGCAGGCTCGTATAAAGGGAGGGAAGCACTTTGACTGGGTCTATGAAGCTCAGGTTAAAGCACAGGAGATAGACTGGGACACAACCGATAAACGTTCCGAACGTGATGTACCGGGTAGCGGAAACTCTACAGATGATGATGATTGTGAGGAAGAGGCAGCAGGGGACAAAAATCTTGGGAAATATGGAATAAATGTACCTCCTAAACAAGTTAACAGAAGGCTTTTTAATGTTCATAAAGTTAACAGGTCGAAAACCTACATTGCACCTTAAGTTATGTTAAAAAGACACAACACTTTAAATCTTTTTTAATCTGTTGAATTTGTGTGATGGATTTATCCAGCTTTAATTTGATTTGTCCCTTCAAAGTTTGAGAGATTTTAAATTTTTATTATTCAAATCAAGAAAAGAGCTACATGTACAACAGTATAGAGCTTGGTCAGGCTGCATTGGATAATGCTCTATAGTTGTGACTAAGGTTAATCACTTATGGTTAACAGCAGTTGGGCTATAGTATACACTTGTGCTGAACATTCTAGAAGTTCTTTAATTATTTTATTTCACCCTTGACCTGCTGAATTTCTTAAATGGACTTGTCCAGCTTCCATATTTTGGGAACTGTCCATTATCAATTATAGGGATATCAAAATGAAAATTTAAAGGCCAGTCAGCATTATAGAATTTGGTCAGGCTGAAAGGAAGGAGGTTCAGGCTGACCTGGCTCTATACTGGTGGCAAAGGTTAATAACTTTTGATTCCAGTAGGTTATGGGTTAAAGGATTTGTGGCTCAAGCAATAGGCAGCAGTCTGTGTCCTGAAAATTGTTGAAAATTCATCAATGCTGGAACCACAAAGATATATTGTAAGCCTTTGCCAAGTTAAAACAGCCTGCAGGCAAGCCAGCCTGTACACCCAGTTTGTCAGACATAAGGCTCTTATCTGTAACGATAGCTCAATTTTTGTATTTTGCCATAAAGTAGCTAATCTGCAGTAGCTAAAGACATTACCCAAAAATGCCAGGAAATATTATAACAATGAAATACTATAGTAATGGTTTTCGATTAAAATGATACTACTCTTGAAAATTAATAATCCAAGTCCTTGAAACCTGGTTACTAAAATAATGTATAATGACCACTGACCTTTAAAGCCAGTTACTTCTTACATTGAAAATTAATGACCCCTGACCTTGAGAACGTGATAATAACATTTTCTGTGATATTCATGATGTGACAATCATAATGTATTTTTTTTAAAGCAAACACCTTTAGATATGTTGTTGTTTTATGAAAACTTTCTTATTGTTATAATGAGATAAATTATTGTCAAAATTGTTGTAATTTTCTCCTACTGCTTGGTCCTATTTATCACGCTTAATATCTTAAAATGAATTGCCCATCTTTCATGTTGGACAAAACCATTTATCATTTTTAGGGAAAATTACAAAATATGCACTGCTTATATGACTGAAATACTGTTGGGAAAAGGCGTAAAATGAAACAAACAAACAAACAAAAACAAAATATGCACAGACTGAAAATTGAACAGTGCAGACCATGGTTAGATGTCACAGATTGTGTCGTCTGCTGATTTGGTCCGCACTGGTCACGTAGTCAGTGCACGTAGTTAGAAAACATTACCACAAGCAAGCTAATGGTTAAGTTCCAGCATGAGTGGAAATTTGTGATTCTGACCTATTTCAAGGTTTCACCAGCATTGTTAATATGTGTACATCAATGTCATAATTGTACTATAACTATAATAATATTTTTCATATGTTTAGTTTTAAGCTTAATGAATGCAAAACAAAGTCTTGCAACTTGTATTATTCACTTTCAAGGAACTGACCAGTACTTGTGCCATGTGATATGAAATATGGTTGTGACCCAAGTAGGGCTTGAACCCATAATGCTGTGTTGAGAGGTAGACACCTGTACCATTAGGCCACTGCGTGCGCTCCCCTTCAGTTTGATCTTTTGAAAAATGGTTACAGCATTATTGTTCACATTTTATTTTCTTTCTGCAGGAAATAGATAGATTAAACAATTTGATGTATTGTACCAAGTTTTTATTTGGCTGCTTAATTATATGTTTATCTGGGTTTTTATTCTTTTAAAATCGAATCAAGGGAGAGAACCATGTAATTTTCTGTATTACAAAGGGTGACAAATTGATGAAATTCTTATTTTTTTAAAGAAAAAACATTTCTAATAATTTGTCACTTTATCAGTGTTTTTCCTATCAACAAATACTGTTTGTTTCTTTGAGTTAAGACCTTTGTTTTTGATTTTGG